CACAAATTCCCCAGAAAAATTACAGATAAAACTGTCTACAATACCGGAAGTATACTGACCAGTATATTATTTATAGTTATAGGTGCTTGTAGTTAAAAATTATATGAAACCATGTGATGTTTATACCAAATTTTTAACATGACGAAAAAAGGCCAAGGCATTCGACCATCTGCCTTTAAGAATTGTCTCATATCTCTGTGTAGTATAATATCTAAATAAGCAGACGTGCCATACCACCTTACACTTTATGTCGTTAGTTTTTTTTTATATAGAGCTAGGTTTAATCTTGGAAAATGTTTCATATCATGGACTTGAGTACTTCCATAACATTGACATTGCCATTAATTTCACTATGTTCTCTCCTATTCCATGGCCATGATGAATGAAATATGCTACGAAATTTTAGACTGACAATAGTCAAAAGAAAACCAATTTTCCTTAAGTTAAAATTCCCTACAAATCACTTATCTGCTAAAGACTATTGGTGTTATTGTTTGAAGCGATAGAAATTAGCAAGTTTAATTAAGTAATTCTTGATTAAAAGTCAAAATTAGCATTTGTTGATGAAAGTGCCAATGCAATGATTTTAAGCATTCTGAAAAGTTGTCCAAGATCTTTTATTTAGAAACAAATTTTAGATTGGCTTTTGCATTTCTTTACTATGCTGTTTTATTTCTTGCCATGTTGAAATTTTAATTAAGCTTAGCACCCGATTTGCAAATTGAAAATGGATCCAAATTTGTATGCCTCTTTCTGCACCCCAACTGAACAACTTTTAGACTATCAGTAATATGTGCAAACTTTTAATCTATGGCTTACCTCACTCAGTCTCAAAATTTCAAAGTAATAGGCATCTCCTCTTTTCTTTTTTTAATGCAGGATAATAACAAATGTGAGCCCGGGCAATATTAATATATCTTAATTGTCATCTTAAAGTTTGAATACCATTTGTTTAAATTTAAAACCAATTTTGTGATATTATATGATTCATAGTGGTAAAGATGGGAGGTCATGGTGTACAGATCATTTATTATAAAGGCCGGAGTTGTCAATGAACATGAATCTTTAATGTTTTAGTGTGTAATCTAATCAGAAACTTAATTCAAATACTTCTGCTAGTTAACATTACATCGTAGGTGACGTAGGGCTAAATACATTCTGCTTATAATTTTAAAGTTGCAGTTATCAAATACAGAAAGGTTAAACTTTACTGTTTTTTTATCTGTCAGTGAACGTCGTTAGACCTTTTTATAAAATAATTATTGTTACTTTTCACACTTTTATTACTTAAAGTCATGTTGATCCACAAACTGGTTTGTTATAATGAACTTTGATAAATATGTCAGACTTTATTTTTAGAGTGTTTTTCTATGCTATGCTTAAAAAAAGTTAAAGCTTAAAATACCTGGCCGTCGATAATGACATTATAGATTATTATTGTATGATAATAGTTCATAATGTCTTTAAAAGTAGAACGTAACTTTCGATAAAGTAACTTTTCAAAATTTTGGATGTGTCAAGCTCTTCACTATTTAAATCACACCACAAGCCTTAGGTAGACTAGGTATGTATGTAATTATTATATTTTGTTGAACTTGAAAGTAGACATTTTTAAAAGAAAGAATACATAATGTAATTGAGAAATTAAACACTGGTTTCAAACTTACTACTATGATGTCTACATGCGAATTAGTGCATGATCTCCCATCCTAAAACCTTAGTTACGTTTCTTTTAAAATTTTGAAATATATAGAGGAAATTTATTACATAATCATAAGATTTGTCACTTGCCTAAATTTTAAAAGAATTTCTTTTCGTTAATTTAGCTTTCAGAATATGCATGTACTTAATAAGCAATATAAGCACTCATTTTCACAAAATTAATGTGTGCACGGATCCATTTTTGTCTATGAATATATGTACTGTAAATTTGTCTTATTTTAATTTAAAATATTCTTTCTATATAGATAAACCATGGGCAATTTAGCAGCTCTTTTAAAACGTTTGGTGGGGAAAAAGGAAATGAGAATTTTAATGGTTGGTTTGGATGCTGCTGGAAAAACAACTATTCTTTACAAGCTTAAGCTAGGAGAAATTGTCACAACAATCCCTACCATCGGTAAAATGTGTTTATTTAACATGATTTTCTAACATTTTTTAGCTAGATATATGATGTTGTTAATCTTAATGTTTTTACGTAGATAAAGGAAAAGGCTTACTTGACTATTTCTAATATGCACCTACATTATTTTGTAATGTCCTTTAAGTTATTTCCATTTTCAATTGCATAATATTTTAACTTGTTTCAGGTTTTAATGTTGAGACTGTTGAATATAAAAACATCAGTTTTACAGTGTGGGATGTTGGTGGTCAAGACAAGATAAGACCATTATGGAGGCACTATTTTCAGAATACCCAAGGTATTAAATCTAAATTTGCTTGTTATTGGCAATTTCATCTGTTATTCATGATTCATTATTGCTGAAATTTTCCTCTAATGTGATTTAATTAAGGCAAGCATAAAAAATAACTGAAGGTCCCAAAAATGTATTTAAATTAAAAATAGCATAACTATGGTCAGGCAGTGAAATAAAACCTTAAAGTTAAATTAGAACTAAAGAAGTGTAACTTTTAATGTTTTAATTGTGTTGCTTATCAAATGGCAGCTTTATGTGCCTTTGGAATGGAAAGGAAATTCATTTTTTTTTAAAAGCTTTGTTAATAGTAACCTTTGCTCAGTAGTTAGCACTTTTTTTTTTGGCTAATGAAATGGGGAAGAGACACCACTTGAAAATTAATTGTGTTCTGGAAAATAAGAACTTGCAAGTCGAAATATGTTGTTGGCTGTTTTCAGGTCTTATTTTTGTGATTGACACTAATGACAGAGAAAGGATAGGGGAAGCAAGAGAAGAGCTTATGAGAATGCTCAATGAAGATGAGCTTAGAGAGGCAAAGCTTTTGGTTTTTGCAAACAAACAGGTACAAATTTAGTTACATTTTATTTGAATTACAGATTACACAAAAATTGTTTTTTAATGGAATCATAATATTGATGTGGGATATTTATTCTTTTTTTTAAAATTATTTTTAGGATCTTCCTAATGCAATGAATGCTGCTGAGATAACAGACAAGTTAGGTCTTCACAGCTTAAGAAACAGGTCTTGGTATATTCAAGCTACTTGTGCAACCAGTGGTGATGGACTGTACGAAGGATTAGATTGGCTGTCAGCTAGTGTTAAAAAATAACTGTATCTGTCATGGTCCACTATGAATTAATCTTTAGGAGTGAACAAATGCTAATAGAATGCACATAATTCTGAAAGGGCATTTTACAACAGTTGTTAAAAATTTCTTTTTTAAACAAAATTCCCTAAAATTTGAGGACTTCACTTTTTTTATAGTATTTGCCACCAAATATTTATTATTTTTCTACTTTAGCCACACATTTATTTTTAAACATCATCAAATTGAATTCCATTGGAATTTTGCAGAGACATGCAATGGTTAACTCATTCCTTATAGCAGTGCTACTACCGTACTAGTACTTAATTTATATGCCTGAGAAAGGGAGTTTACTCCGTTTTGCATTGATTTACATTGGTAAAATATCTTTCGAAGCTGCCAAATATTAATTAATGTTAATGAATTTAGGACACATGCATCCAAAGATGAATATGGTTTAATAAAAAAAAATATAACGTTAACGGCGTAAAAATAATGAACAATAACCCAAAAAAAAATGATTTTGTCACCTCAGCCGAACGCATGCTGGATATAGACATGCCATACTAAAGCACATCTTGAAAGGGAAACAAGATTTTAAAAAACTTCAGATTTTTTAATTGAAATTATGACATCGGCTGAAATCTCGAGCGATGCGAGATTTCATTGCTATTTTTAAATAAAAATGAGGCCTGTGTGTGACTATGCACGGGGAAGCATTTTGGGCGCATCATTCAAAACCCTCAAAGGGCGCATTTTGTTGCAAGTGTCAGGAATGAGTTAACTTACAGTCTCTTTGTTTTAACTAGCCCAAGAAATTTGGAATTTATAAAGACATAAATTTGTATTTAGTAAATATTATCCACATTTATTTTTAATATTTTAAAACATATTGGCCAATTAATCTGTTAAGTAAAATGTCTGATTAGTATATTTAAAAAAAAATGAATTTAAATTCTTGCTTTAATTGATGTGGAAAAGGCCTTTTATTTTTTGATATATTTATAAATATTTTAAATCTGGTCACGTTGCTTTTTTTTTTTTTTTTTTATATATATGTGTGTATAACTAGCGCTTTAAAGTGTTTTTTTTTTTTTTCCTTCTTTTTTTTTTTTTTTTTTTTTTTTATATATATGAGTGTATAACTAGCGCCTTAAAGTGATGGTTTTTTTTTTCCCTCATTTGGTTTTAACTGAGTTCTGAGATTAATTAATTGTTTGATCTGACTTTCTGCATTATTTACCTACATTGTCAATTATTTTTGCTGTCATAAGTACCCGGTATATAATAATTTCCCTAAGATATTCGTTAACAATGTTGAGTGAATTGGTGCAAACAAATCTATTGTTTTAAAATTTATTAGCCTTTTATAACAATAATTTTGATCATTAACCCTCTTGAGTTAGATCGCCCAGAGTCAAATGGTGAAAAAGACGAATTGGCCTATCCATCAGCCCAATGATACAAGCTTCAAGATTGACTGGCTGGTCTCTGTACCAGCTAATCAGATGGCTTCTTGCTCATCTCGCCATCTTAATAGCGGCTTCCATTGACAATGATAGATTACTGTAATCATGTCATTTTGTAGCTTTTTTTTTTTTTTGTTATGGGACCTTGAATTATGCACACTAATCATTAAAGCCCCCTCCCCTTATTTTCTTAAATGTTGAGATTTCAGTTTGATGCTTAAAGTTCATATCTCGCCATCTTAATAGCGGCTTCCATTGACAATGATAGATTACTGTAATCATGTCATTTTGTAGCTTTTTTTTTTTTTGTTATGGGACCTTGAATTATGCACACTAATCATTAAAGCCCCCTCCCCTTATTTGCATAAATGTTGAGATTTCAGTTTGATGCATAAAGTTCATATTATTTTATTAAATTCTCTACAAGATTATGTATAGTTTTATATTTGTAAAGTAATTACCTTAATTATTATAAAAATGTTTTGCAAAGAAAGTTTCAGTGTTTGTGAAAAGGACTCCATCTTCTTGGCACTAAATGTTCAAAAAAACTCAGTCTCAAGAAGGTTAAAACAGATAAGTGTACTCAATTTTAAGTTCATTAAAATAGTGAGGATCAATTTTCTGTTTCATAACAATTAATTGGCCATTGTTTTTTTAAGCTAATATTGTTACTCATTGCATAAGATGGATTTGACTCTCCTGTTTAAGTTTCAGATGATGCTATTTTTTAAAACTGTTCACCAATAGTTTTATGTACCATAAACTTTAGCTTAGATTGACGTTTGTGAGTAAAAGGCATTTAATTAGTGATCTTCATTTCAAAAAAATAAATATATTTAATTATAAAGGTTAATGTTATTCAATTTTTGGGGTTTATAAATATGCTTCTTTTACCAACTTGTTGAGAGATGTGGATCCAAATCTATAAATTCCCTTACACTTTTACCAGATTAGTGAAAGAGGTTAAACCTATTAAATAAATACCCATGCAAGATTTATAGATACCATATTTTTAAAGAATCTCTAAAGCTACCAAAGTGGATTTTGTTTTTTTCCAAGCTCACTAAAGCTCCAACCACATCCTGGAGGAGGACATTGTTTGAATGCAATTAGGATTGTTCTTTCATTTGAATACGCTTTAAAAATGTATGGAATGATTAGTGTTTTGTCACAAAATTATTATAGTAGATTGTCATTAGAACTCTCTAAACGTTGAGCTGATTTGTGCTTACTTTGTATTTTAATGACCTGTTTCTTTCTATTAAACTGTTATTAGCCTTGGAGGAATTTCATCATTTTCTTTTTTATGGTATTTATTATATTGCTTAGCTGTAAACTGGTAAATATTATCATGCCTGTAATATTCTGTGTTGTAATTTTTTTTTTGTTAATGTATTTTTAAATTTCAATATGGACATTCTAATAACTAAGAGATGAACATTTGTTGAGATGAATCCCACAACAGATAAATCTATTGAGATATAATAACCTTGCTGAACAAAATGCAATAAAATATTTACATATTTTTAAGTTCCTTTTGCCGAAAGTGTACTAAGCTTTTTTCATTTCTTAATGTGCGGGTGGTGGGGTTTTTCAGTCATTCAATACACCATAAATATAGAAATAAAATGTGTTTTATGCTATTCCTTTATAATTAGGCTAAATAACTATTTCATTTAAACGGAAGTGAATGTATATTGAATGGAAGAGCTTTTGATGTTTGGGGATATGCTGGTAGATCAAGATTATTTTTTTTCTTCTTGTTTTATGAAAGTCTTGTCATACATTTTTATCAAAATAAAATTTTATCAAATAATGGTACAGATGTTTTATGACTTAATAAATATTTCTGAAACTTTGCATAATTCATTATTTTTACAAATTATTTTTTGTGCATGTTCACATTACTAAATAACTGGTTTATAATAACAACTCATGGTGTACTTTATAGGTGGTACTTACTCAGTTTGAAAGATGGGAAACGTGTTTGCACAGTTGTTTCGAGGTCTGTTTGGAAGAGCAGAGATGAGGATTTTGATGGTTGGTCTTGATGCTGCAGGAAAAACAACAATTCTTTACAAATTAAAGCTGGGTGAAATTGTCACGACTATCCCTACAATTGGTAAGTAGATCATTTTAATCATATATTTACATGTTTATTTCTTGACTTGAAATAAATTAAGAAAGTGAATATGATCAAAATATTACACATAAAAATAAATGTATTTTAAAAAAAAAACTTTTAAATCAAGACAGGTCATTTCCAATTGCATTTGTAATGGATGCATATTTTTGCTAAAGGAAAGTATTGATTTAATCTTTAAATTTTTTTTACCATTTATTTTCAAGGGTTTAATGTGGAAACGGTGGAATACAAAAACATAAGCTTTACGGTGTGGGATGTTGGAGGGCAGGATAAAATTCGACCTTTATGGAGACATTATTTCCAGAACACACAGGGTAAGTTTGAGTAAAAGGTGTTATTGAAACTATTTCTTATTAGATGATTGATTACACTTGATAAAGTGATACAAATATTTTCAAACAAATTAAATGATGTAGTATTCAAACAACTAAGCTTTTATTCTTTTGTACAAATGACAATATTTTTTGTCTCTGTCAACAGGGCTTATTTTTGTCATAGACAGCAATGATAGGGAAAGAGTTGGTGAAGCAAGGGAAGAATTGATGAGGATGTTAAATGAAGATGAGCTCAGGGATGCCATTCTATTGGTCTTTGCCAACAAACAAGTTAGTTTATTTGTTTTCTAAATGATAGTTGATTCTATGCATGCAATGAGAGAAGTACGAGGGCTCCAGTTGCGACTAAATATAGCAATGAAATCTATAGGCTTTTGGTGATAGCCTGATTATGCGTGATTTCAATTTGAAAACCTGATATTTATTTACTTTCAGTCTATATTTGCCCAAAGTATTGTGCGTCTATGTTTTTAGCATGTGTTCTTCTGAGTGCCAAAATTCAATTGTTGATCATTGCTCATTATCTTAACTATTCTGCAAATACATGAGGCTAAAGAAAAAAAAACAAGTGCTTTTACAGCTCTGTGAATCAAAGTTTGTTTTAACTCATTCCCTCCTGCAATGCTACTTCCGTATTTAATTTATTTGCCTGAGAAAGGGAAGTAACTCCGTCTTGCAATTGATTTACATTTGTAAAATATTTATTTAAGCTGCTAAATATTATTTAATGTTAACAAATTAAGAACAAATGCATCAAAGAATGAATAAGGTTTAATATAAATATAACATTAGCGGGGGGAAAATAACGAACAATGGCCAAAAAATTGATTTTCGTCACCTCAGACGAACACATGCTAAATATAGACGCGCCGTACTAAAGCACACGTAGTTTTAAAGTGAAACAAGATAAAAACTTGTGGTTTTTAAATTAAAATCACGCTGAACCACGCCATCGCCGGAAGTCTCGAGGGATGCGAGATTTCATTGCTATTTTTAAATAGATATGAGAGAGGTGTGTCGCTATGCGCCGGGACGCATTTGGACGCATCCGGCGAAACCCGTAAAGGGCGCAATTTTCGCAAACTTAGGGAATGAGTTAAGTTATACCACCTTTTAAAAAATTCTAGTATGTCCATCTGCTTGTTCAAATTTGGATGTTTCAAAGGGTCGTTTGTGTCCGTCCCGTCCCCCCATTTTAATGCATAAAATTACCTTCACTAATTTGACCCTAATTGGCATATTTTAGAACTTTGCTCATTCAGCATACAGCTTTCTACCTGATTTGCTCTGCAAAGGGTGTTTTTTTAAACAGAAATGCAATTTGTATTTTAGTTTTAGCTCAAAATAAATGTTTAATACCCGGTAGTTAAATATTCCCAGGTAAAAGACTAGGTAGGAATAGCTTCACTGTCACACTTCACCTACCAATTTGTTGTTAGAGTTCTCATTTTCAATATCACTATTATTAACACTTTCATTACTACTTTTTGAAGCATTTAACATTGAAGCTGGAACCAAACTTTTCTAAAGCATCTTATTGTTAATGCCATGATTTTCAAAAATATGTAGCTTGCATGTTTCTCAATGTATTTATTTTCCATAAAAAGAAGTAGAACTTTTCTACTTTTAAACTATTGCTGGTTTAACATTTTAATTGTATGGTCCAGTACATTGTTCATTTTCTATATGTATAAAGCTAACGATGGCAAATGGGGAAATGTGAAGTAACTGGTTAACCCACTCATGCTGTTAATTGCCCTGTCAAAATTTCCTTTTACTATAAAGCTTTTTCAAGGGGCCTAGCAACCTAATTCTGTGAAAATTCACTACTACTCACACAAAAACATAACTCTCTTCTTTTGAAGATATTCCAATCTTCTGTTGTTGGAAGTAGAATTGTCAATAGTTAGAATCAGGATAGCTTTCCTCACTATGTGAAGTTAACTGACAAGCTTAAATATTGCAACTATTTAAAAGATCTGTGTAGAATCTATTGAAATCATGGTAATTCAGAAAGTTATATTGATTATCCTAAGGTTAAAGATTATTCTATATCTGAATTTTTGTCTGTTATTTGTTTATTTACTGTTTCAGTGTTTTATTAGTACCGGTACAAATTTAAATGACAAATCCAGAAAGTTTGAGAAAGTGTGAAATTAAATACAATTCTCTGTTAGTTGGCACAAAGTGTACAATCATTTAATTGTTAAATATAGTTTGAATTTTGTTCATTATAATCATTTAACTTTCACTCTGTTTCTTAGGATTTGCCCAATGCAATGAATGCTGCAGAAATTACAGACAAACTTGGTCTACATTCACTCCGTAACAGACAGTGGTTTATCCAAGCAACATGCGCCACTAGTGGAGATGGTCTCTATGAAGGTCTAGATTGGCTCTCCAACACACTCAAAAAGAAACCTTAATATGTGCATACTGTAGACACTATCCCTTTCATTCATTATTGATTTTTGTAATGATCTGTCAATAAGAAATTTGACAATCTAGAGTGGACAGTATATTTTTTAACATAAATTACCAGAATTAAAGACAGATTGTTTGTGAAAAGAAATCAAATTGATGTTGTTTGAGGTCAATTGATAGGTTTTATTTTATCCACCAAGCCCATTTTTTTCCTTGTACATTTGAGTTTATTAATTGACAAATTAAAGCTTCTGGTTTTAACACAAATGTTTTGTAAAGATTCAGCATTACTGTCTGCCCTCAAAAAAACGTACAACAGTGGTGAGTTAATAAATAACTTTGCATGTATAAAGGAAGAAACACCACAATTAACTTTTTGCATTACTTTTCCCTTTCAAAGAAAAGTAAGCTGTTGTAATTTTTTCAATGACAGTAATGGGCGTGTGATATGTGTTTTTTTCAGCTATCTGAAAGGTTGCTTTTGGGTGGCATTTGTAAGCATGAAGAGAAAAGTTGTTTTGTTTTTTTTTAAATTATCATTTTACATGTATACAATGCGATAATGGGATAAACAAATGGTTTATGTTCATATTCTCATCTATTCTATGTCTGTTAGTTTATTGTCGTGGGACAAAAATTCATTGGTTACAACTGAGTCGGAGTGCTAGAAACTTTATGGTTGTTGGAGCAGAGTTGAATGCTGAGCAGGGGGAAAAAACTTGCTGTAACTATGTAAAATTTTGGGGCCCCATCTTGAAATGTTAACCTACAGTCATTTTTAAAAAAGAATAAAACAATTTCCTCTAACAATACTAATCTTATTTCAAACCTTGTAATTATTTGTACTGAGAATGAATGTTTATAATATTACAATATTTGTAACAGCACAGCTTTGATCAAATCCTTTTACGTCATTTAAACAAATCTGGGAGTTAAATTTTAAAATCTAAAGGCCAATTAATTTAAATGGACGCATATAAACTTCCTTCCTATATCAGCAACATTTATGCACATTCCAATTTTTTTTTAAAGGTGCCCGCATGTTAATTTTGTTGGGGAATTTAATCCTTTGAGATGCTGGTTTCATTTCGTTTGAATAGCTTGTAGGACAAACTGCTTTGTTTTTCATTAGTCTTTTTTGCTTTGTTTTTGTAACTAAAGTGGTCGTGAGAAAAAGAGATTTGAACTTCCTTTGTGTGTATTTATTAAACATGCCATCATTATTATTTTTTTGTATGAATGAAATAAAAAGTCAGTACTTCACTTTTTGTGGGTTTTTTCTTGATTTGTTAAATTGGATGAGCTTACGAAGTTTCATTTAGAAATAATCGTACGTAGGCACAGTAGCTGTATAGTGTATCTTAACCCTCTACACTTCAATATATTGTATACCCTGTCCCTTATAATTATAATGGGAAAAGTGTTTCTGGCTATTCCTTGCAACTAGGTGGGTAACATCCATATTCTTATTTACTTATTTCACAGTAAATTGTTCTCTTCAGATGCAGAGGGGACAGATGTACCGGGCGCCAAAATCGTGTGTTTCTCGCTATGCTCTTAATGCACTGCACGACTCAGGCGTTGTCGGAATTTTCAATGTAACAATGTCATACCACCACGGGACACCTCTAGGTTTGAGTGTGGCTTCAAAGTTGCCTTCACTTGGAAGAATAGCCATCCATGATTAACGAATCCCGGGTGCTGTTTTTTTTCTGGTTCTGGTAGGGTACTTTGCAGAATCCATGTACTGGCATATGTGCAACGGTTGGGGCAGTTTTGAAGCTCATGATTGACGTCGAGTTAACGGCTGTATCGTCCAGGTGGTTCAAAGCGATGATTGTGCGTGGGGAAAAATGATTGTTGATATTGGACTGTGTTACACTGAGGCACAGTGAAGCATTTACTATTGTTCCGGATGTAATTAATTGCTTATGGGGTTGTTAGAGGTGAAGTCAGTGTTTAGTAAGCGTTTGGCTCTGATCAACCGGTCTGGCATCTGTTGGGTGAGATACGTGTTTGGTGTGATGCCCGGTACTAGCCCCATGACCATTTTATGTAGGAATGTTAGGCGGAGCTTTTCTCGTCTGTCTTTGAGGGAGGGGATGTCAATTTTTTTTTAAAAGAGGCCAGTGACCTGGCTAGGGTTGGTGTTACCCCGTGCGGTAAACTCGTGGTGTCACCATTATCCCCCAACTTCCACAATGGATTTCTTCTTGTTAAAAATAGGAACACAGTATAAAACAAGAAAAAAAATTAATTGAAGGACCAGGTCGAGACGCAGCTACGGGATCAACAGGCTGGTTCCAATGTTCCCTTTAGGCTGCGCAGCAGTTTCAGAGGCGTAGCGAGGGTGTTTGGCGCCCGGGGACAAGATTCGCGCCCGAGGACAAGATCCATTTTAAAGCGCCCCCTTTTCTTTTTTTCAACTCTTAAACCCATTATTTTTACCAATAATATAATGTTATAATATCAAAGCACATTTTGGCACCCCTAACTAGCTTGCGACGGGGACATCTGTCCCCCCCCCCTCGCTACGCCTCTGAGCAGTTTTGAGTATCCGCGCAGCAAATTTCCATTTAAGTGTCTATTTGTGTTTGTGGCCTGTAAAAATTTGCACACAAAAAAAAATGATGCTGTAAAACTTTGCACCCAACTGTATGATTTTTCACACTAACCAGCAAACCTTAGAGGGAACATTGGCTGGCTCCCGTCGAAACAGATCATGCACAGATCAATTTGCAACACTACGAATCATTGTAGAACAGTCCATCCAATGAAACTCCCACCTATACGTAAATTTAAATCAGGTAAACTAGTCAGGATCATTCAGAGTTCTTATGAAGAAATGACATGCAGGGTGGTACACGTAGGTAGACTCACAGATACATTTAAAGTGAAAACAGGAGTCAGACAAGAAGTGTCTTGTCCCCCTTCCTATTCATCCATGCTATTGACAAGATAATGAAACAATTCACATATAAAAATAGGAAAGGGATACAGTGTACACTCTAGACTTTTGCAGATGACATTGTACTTCTGTCCCACAACCAGCAGCAAATGCAGGACAAGACTAAAGACGTCAAAGGAGCTGACTCTGCAAAGCAAACTCAGAATCTACAATATTAATGTCAAAACAGTCCTACTCGATGGAGCCGAAAAGTGGAGAAAAAAAACGACGAACATTACACAGAGATCAGAAAATCCCTATCATGGAATCCACAGGGAAATAGAAAGAAAAAAATGCCTAAAAATACATGGAGACGCCAGATAGAGGTAAAACCACAACTTATGGGATACACCTGGAAGCAACTGGAAAGGAAAGCACAAGCACTGGAGCAAGATGAGTGGCAAATTATTATTGACGGCCTATGCAACAGACGGGTAAAAGGTACACTTATGTAAAATAAGTCCCCAGTATAACAATGACAAGAACAAATTATTTGAAGTTCAGGAGGTAAATGTATTTAAGAACTCTAACAATGTTAAGTTATATTTTCACATTGAATTTACTTTATTTAAAATGTTACTTTCCTGGTCTTCAACGCTGACAACCTATCAATCACTTGATCAATATCAATTTCCTTCACCGTATCACTTTCAAGTGATAGTAGAGCCAGATCAGAAAGCTTTGACTGTCCCCAGGTGGATCGTAAATAGTTCTCCTGATGTTCTCTGTTTAAATCTGAATTTTCTCTCTATTGAAATTCCAAATTGGTCTGATTTTAAAAGTGCCTCTTCAATAGCATGTTCCACCAAGTGACAGCTCTTCTGGTGCAGAAACAATCCTAAGGCTCTAGGTTGGTCACCACTTTGTCAAGAGTAAAGCCTTTAGTTTGCAGATATTGCTGTGTAAGATTAACTTCCTCAAGTAGCTCATCCCAAAGATAAAGTTAGCAAATAAACTTGAAATCACGGACATCTTGCTAAAGATCTGTTTGACAATCGTGCTCAAATGTTAAGGGACAGTGTAAATGACCAATCGTCGATAATATTTATTTTTAAGTATTTCTGGGTTTCGATATATTTTGTTTCAAAAACCTTTGTTTACAAAAATTTTTAATCATTTTAATTTATTATTAAAGATAGAAAATGTAAAATATTATTTTGTTAACCCTATGAATGGGTAAAAAAAAAAAAAGTCATGTTTTTAATTTTTACCGATTCGATTCTGTATTTAGAATTGCCGGAACAGATGGTATTTGGTATCAATAGAAAACCTCTATTTCTCAAAATGTATATAAATATAGCTTCCTGTCACTTACGAAAGTTACCGAAACACTGCAATCGACGTTCGATCACGGTGTTTTTCTAACCTAATTATAGGGTCACCTCATTTCTGACCCATCCAACTTTGAACTTTTAATAAAGCACGCATTCATTTGGATTAGTTACAGGTGTGGAAAATTTACGTGTGATCGGATCGGTTATCCTTTTAAGAAATGTGGTTAGACGGAGCAGTTTGCGCTCTGTGGGACCGTCCATAAAGTACGTCACGCTCCAGAGGGGAGGGGGGGGTGGGGTGTAAGAAAATGTGACAGGGGGGAGGGGGGTTCAGGCCATGTGTGACGTCACACATTTATTATTTTTTTTTTTTAAATTATACTTCTAATTTATTTATTTTTTTATTTTTTAGTGGAATTTATTAGTTTTAAACAAAAAATTCAAAAATTGTGTGTATCATTTGAATTAGTTTTATGTCAAAACATAAAGTACGTCACGCTCCAGAGGGGAGGGGGGGGAGGGGTGTAAGAAAATGTGACAGGGGGGAGGGGGGTTCAGGCCATGTGTGACGTCACACATTTATTATTTTTTTTTTTTTAAATTATACTTCTAATTTATTTATTTTTTTATTTTTTAGTGGAATTTAATAGCTTTAAACAAAAAATTCAAAAATTGTGTGTATCATTTGAATTAGTTTTATGTCAAAATAGTATGAAATGCGTATCTCCTGAATGTGTTGTTCACGATTACTCTCGCTAGGAGCGCTAGTATGCTGTTGCGAAGCCTTGTTTTATGTATAGCATTGCTTTCGTCTTTCCTGAAGTGCTATTATTTCTATGTTGTCCGCTGCATAATTCTGACACTGTCCTTTTTATTATTTAATCATTTTGCGAGGTCAAGTTTCTCTAATATACTGCTTAACATGTGCAAAAAGATTGCATAATCGGAATATTATCTAAAACTTGACCTCACCAATTGTAAATGAAAAAGCAGCAGATAATTGATTTGTATTATATAAATGTCTAGTCTAATTTTGCAATTTTTGTTTTCAAATTCAATCTAGATTGAGTTACTGCTTCAATGAATAACTGTGACAACTGTTGACAATTAACTATTCTACTATTAAAGTCATTTTAATAACGTGATAGTGGAAATTAAGTGGAAATTTTATATTTTAATACAATTTAATAGTGAAGTGTGTTTTAGATTAAATTTCGATTAGGTGTTAATTTTTACATTTTGTTCGAAAGTGTGACGTACTTTAGGGTGGGGGGGGGCGGTTTCCAAGATTTGTGACAGTTTGTGAGTGACATGGGGGAGGGGGGGTAAAAATTGTCAAAAATAGTGTGACATACTTTATGGACGGCCCCTGTAAATATGCAATTTTTCAATATGGTAATCATCCCTGAGTATGGGCGCCCGCAGGTAGGGGCGAGGTGGGGCACTCCCCCCCCCCCTGGATTGATTGGATAAAAAAAAATTAGACAAAAATAGACAACAAATTTATTAAAGTAAAGAGAAAATAAAGAGAAAGTAACTAAGCCGATGTCCTTTCCGTTCGTTTACCACACAAATACGCTACAGTAAATTAAAACTATATTAAAACATTACTAAAAATTTTTTGACCCCCCCTGGAAAGTTAATCGAATTCCCCCCCCCCCCTAGAAAGTTTTCTGCAGGCGCCCATTCTCCTGAGACGGTGTCACACTGTGCGGTCCGCACCCCCGCACCACCTAGCCACGCCACTGCATATAGGTCTAGGTTTATGCTGGGGGATTTAAGGCCAATCCACAATTTTGGAATTGACATTTTGTGATCGCATAGCCAGCCACTCTACGATGTCGTAATCAACAACTAACAATCAAAATTTCTAGAGAATTTTAAATTTATTTACTGTTACTATTAGCCTAGAGCAGGGGTCGGGCACCTATGGCTCGCGAGGCAGATGTGGCTCTATTGGCTGCATCTGGCTCCCAGACAAATGTTCAATTATTTTAAAAAAATGGTAAGAAATACTCATTATTGAATAGCAACAGCATACCATTGTTATTAAAAAGAATTCAGAGACATAATTATTACATTTTTAGTGTTGAAATTGCACAAAATGCACACATTCACTTGAATTTTTGGTTTTAAACATAACGAATGGCTCTCACAGAGTTACTTTTCACAATATGTCGTGTCCATGGCTCTCTCAGGCAAAAAGGTTCCCGACCCCTGACCTAGAGGCTAATAGGGCAGGGATGCCGAACCTTTCGAGACCGAGAGCCCAAACTGCGACCCAAAACCCACATATTTATTTTCTTAGTGTCTTAGTGCCAACATTACAATTACAATTAAACGTGAATGCTGAGGTTCTGGGGCAACTACAGCACATGTGTAAGGGATTTATAAACAGTTGCGTAGGAAGGGGATGTGGAGGGGGGTGGTTCATCCTGGTGGCATTTTGGCAGCTTTCAAATTATTCATGGAATTGGGTGATCAGCCCGCTCTGGGCGGCTCTGAGGCTATCAATACAAATGACGTCACGTGTCTAGGAGGATCACATTTTTTTGTGACGAGGGAAGGGGCAGATTAAGCGATATGACGTCAAATTGAAACAATTGCACTTATTAACCTCAAATGACAGTCATTTTTAACGTTATTCTTTTATACAATAATTATAATTATCATATTTTTAAGCTATGATCACCGAGAGTAGCAGTACAGGTATGCGAGGTCCGACAAATGGCATCTCTCTTTCTGAACACATTACAGGCCGCCACGGAAGGGGGAATCGGGGTGAAGGGAAATTGACAGTCGTGAGAATTTATGTGGAAGACGTGAATCATAGAATTAGATCTACTACGTGAAGTGGAATAGAACCGGAGGAAAAAAATGGTTTGGTGGGGGTTGATTTTAGGGGGAAAAAAATTCTGGACAGAGATTCTTAACATCTTTGCAGCGCTGCATCCACTATCAATTTCACCCACCCACCCCCCCATCACCCCCCCCCCAACACATAAATTATATCGTAATAACATATTTAGGGGAAAAAAAATTCTGGACAGAGATTCTTAACATCTTTGCAGCGCTGCATCCACTATCAATTTCACCCACCCACCCCCCCATCAACCCCCCCCAACACATAAATTATATCGTAATAACATTTCAAAATGAAAAAAAAAAGTTATTGAACTTTTATTTGTCTAATTAACTTTCCAGAATCAAGAAAATAAATTGCCGTCAGCCTACCAGTAGCCTAATGCACAATCAAAATTCACCCGAAAAAAACAACTTTACTGATGGGGTCTATGAAATTGTTTCTGATACTGGTTTTTCGGTATCCTTGCGAAGTGAATTTTGTAAAGGTTTATAAAAGACAGTAGACCTAGTGGATTAATGCATTTTTTATAAGGTGGGTGCAGATGTTTGTGACATTATATTTGTGGGAGGCTAAATTATTTGTGACAATAAAGGGGGGGGGGGGGGGGAAATGGTAAAATTTTGCGTCACGTAGGCCTAATTTATGGGTGTCCCCTCGAACTCCAGCTACGCCACTGTTTTCCACCATACCACTGGCCTGGAGCTCAGAGAAATACAATTTGGTACCAGTACACAGCTTTAAGTAGTCAGGATGGTATAATTTTAATCTGTCAAAGTTTGGTGGATCCTCAGTGTAGAGATTTCCTAATATATGGATTAATTAATGAATACAATTTCAAGAGTTGTAACTAGAAAAACGCATTTAAAATTCAAATTTAACAAAGTTAATTCCCTGAATAATAATAATAATGAAAGATTTAAGACGGACCTGCAAAAACTCTAGGACATTGTTTGCAGGCCTAAGTACGTTGTAAATGATTGATAATGGTTTTCTCATAATAAATTTCCAATCTTTCAGTTACCCCAATGCACCTAAATGCCCTATAAATAAATTTAAAAGCAAAAGGCGTGACAAAATAATTGTTTGTTTTTAGATAATTATTTTTAATGTGTCATAGTCATATAAAAATCCCCATTCCCATTATTTGCTAAATAGCTTTATTGTCTACTCTATTTTGAAGTAATGAAAATGAAAAAAATAAATGTTTAATTTTCATTTACCTTATTTTCGTTTCTACTTCATAAATAATAAATTTGTTTTCCGATGGTCTTAGGCGAGCCCTGTTGTAAGGGTGGTTCGACCCCCAGGCTGAGAGCCGCTGATTTAGGCAATAAAATATCTGCAAGGGATGCCACTCTTATTTTAGCCGAAATTAAAGACATAGGCCTAATATTAGAGTTACAGAAATACATTTCCAAAATAATTTTTATTAAAATGGGCGACTTTTGTTTGGATCAACTCAGGAAATAAATTGATTTTACGATTGGTTTTTATAGTTCAGCGAACACAATTAGACGCGTAAACTTTGTAATTTATGTGACGGTTACTGTTCATGTTCGTATACTTTTTTACTTTTTAAATATTGTTCACTCACGTTTTTTTGTTTACTAAACTGTTTAGTTAGACTTCGGCTACGGCGCTTACTTTCTACTACTAACTACTAAGTTACCAAAGTACTAGACTACTACTACTACTAGTACGTTACAACTGCTCGTTCTACTAGTCGTAACTAGTACTACCTACATTAGCCTACATACCATATACAGTCTATAGGTTGACTAAAATTAGACTATAGTATAATTATAATCTTTATTTTGTAGGCCTTTACATACTCAACTCTTTGCCTGTCTGGTCTATACTTTGAGTATGACTTATAATAACTTGACTTATAGTCTTATACTATACTACTTATACTTATAGTGTCTAATATTATAAATTATATACTATAGTTATGGTAACTAAGACATAGCCCATCATAGTCATACTCATACTCATAGTAGTCATAGTCATAGTCATCATGTGTATGGTGAGATGCCCCCTAACTTAAGTCTAAGTCTAAGCATAAATAACCCAGTAACTATTTTTTTTTTTTTCCGAATATTTCTTGTTATACATTTTCATATTCGAAATAAGGAAATCATGTGTTTTGGATCATATCACCTGCATTATTTTTGGAATTTTGGGGTATCCTCAATTGTGGATCATGACACATACTGACTAGTTTTGATTACCATACTGGAAAGAACTCAACATGTAATCCAACATTACATTTGCAGCACTGTTTTCTTGTGTTAGTCTTACACACTGCACACTTCCTTTCTTCGTTTACCCGTTTCTGTTAGTGGCCAGTTCCAGAGGTTCTGACATCAACAGGAAGATGACTCTTGGATGTTTTCGAGAAAGATTTCTTCACCAACTTTTTTGTGTCAGATATTGGTGAAGAAAGAGCAAGATATGCTCTGGCTACAGACCTTCTGAAATCCAACAGATGAATTGCACCATTTGAAAAACAATATAGTACGGTAAGGGGCCGTCCATAAAGTATGTCACACTATCTTTGACCATTTTTACCCCCCCCCCTCCCTCATGTCACAAACTGTCACAAATCTCAGAACCCCCCCCCCCCAGTATGTCAGACTTTTGAACAATTAAAAAAAAAAAATTAACGCCTAATTAAAATTTAATCTAAAACACACTTCACTATTAAACTGTTTAAAATATAAAATTTCCACTTAATATACAGTATCACATTATTAAAATGACTTTAATAGAAGAATAGTTAATTGTCGACAGTTGTCACAGTTATTCATTGAAGCAGTAACTCAATCTAGCTTGAATTTGAAAACAAAAATTGCAAAAATTTGTCTACACAATTATATAATACACATCATTTATCTGATTCTTTTTCATTTACAATAGGTGAGGTCAAGTTTTAGATAATCTTCCAATTATGCAATCTTTTTACACAGGATAAGAAGTAGATTAACGAAACTTGACCTCACCCAGTGATTAAATATTAAAAAGGACTGTGACATAATTATGCAGCGGACAACATAGAAATAATAATACTTCAGGCATGTTGAAAGCAAGGCTATACATAAAATAAGGCTTCGCAACAGCATACTAGTGCTCCTAGCGAGAGTAATCATGAACAACACATTCAGGAGATACGCATTTCATGCTATTTTGACATAAAACTAATTCGAGTGTTTCACAAAATTTTTGAAAATTATTTTTAAAGCTATTAAATTCTACTAAAAAAAATAATTAATTAGAAAATGTGTGACGTCACACATGGCCTGACCCCCCCTTCCCCCTGTCACAAACTGTCACACTTTCTTACACCACCTCCCCCCCCTCTGGAGCGTGACGTACTTTATGGACAGCCCCTAAGTGGAAATTCACCATTGCTACATCAATGGCATTGGTAAGCAAAGGGGAACCACTTCTAGCCCCTTATTCTGTATTTTGGACTTCCAATCCATCTTATCAACCCCACCCATGTGTCAGTTATATTCTGCTCTATTTGGGTTGGGATACTTGAATCTCTTTCTTGTTAGCCCTAATCCATCACTTCATCTGTGATATTGGGTAGATGGTTTCATGGTTGCTGAGTAGCTTTACACAACTGTTGTCATTCCAAGTGGTACCCAAAAGTCACTCTGGGAATCAAATTTGTTGCCGCATGTTCCACGTTCTGTTTTCTTCATGTCCTTGTCAGTCGCAATAGTACACTTGTTTATTCTGTTGAATCAAGCAGTGTCTGTTACCCTGACACCAATATCCTGCAAATATTTCATCAAGGAAAATCCTGTGAGGAAATTTTCTAAGTAAATCTTGTAATCATTTGGTGTCTCTAAAATCGAAATCATTTTCTAAACAACAGATGCCCCAAGTCAGGTCATCATCAGTGCCTGTAGCCTTACCTTCATAGACTTGCATCTGGTAACAGTAGCCTGTTTGTGAGCAGAAAATCGCCAGGTACATCATCATTAATATTGCTGTCATCAATATCTTTGTTGTCTGACACTTAGTCAACTTTATCTGGAGGAAGTTCCACGATATCTATAAGACCATTGTCATCCTCTTCTTCATCAGAACTGAAAAGCGCATTGTCATTTATTATATCATCCATTTCTTTCAAAGAAAGGACCCTGTGTCATGCCATTTCTTGTAAAACACATTTATGAAATATTTGCTGAAATTCATGTCAGTATTAGATATAATCCCCAAATTGGGATTGAGATAGAGATATTTCAGTATACAGTAGCCATCAAAACTATAACATGGATGAAAAAGTGCAATTATAGTACTTAACACTTGACAATCATCAAGATAAACCCAAGAAATGAAAAGGAACCTCTTGGATAAATACTTATTCTGCTTACAAAACCGATATTCCACTCACGTGACGAAAATAGCTGCCCTTACCGGAAGAATGATTTCGCGAGCAAAGCCAACCATGTGCACAAGCTAAATTTAGCATCCACAGCACAGGCGCAACCCTGATGAGTCATGTGCATATTGCTGTTTCCTAAGTAGGTTGCAGTGACGCCACTAGACAGTTTAAAATACATGATCCCAAATGCGGATCATGGCAGTTAATGGGTTAATACGCTATGGGGGTAAAATATCATTTTAGCGAATTTAATTAGACTATTAATAAAAAATATCCATTATCGTTTTAGTGAATTCAATTATTAACAAAAATGTCCACCGTTGTTTAAGCAAATTCAATTACAAATATTAAGTTAATTTATTAAGTTAACCATTAATTTTAAGATGCAAAGTTAAAGCTCAAATTTGGCCTGGTTCTGTACACCGCAACAGTGCACTATATCTGTAATTTAAATGAAAAACCCATAAAATTGTGTCTTAACAGTGAATGAGTGATTCTCACATTCACATACTGATACTGGTTGACATGATCAGGAATTATTTTTGCTTTACTAAGTAAAGTTCAACTTCAAGCATTATTTTTTGGAGTTTGTCCATTTGGAACCATTTATATTCATTACAATTGAAGAGACTGTCAGGTAAGGTGTAGATATTAGTTTGAAGGAAGTGCTAATACTTAGGAGAGTTAGAGAATTGTATTTTTGAGAACACTTGAAAATATAATATATCGGTATTGTAACTTTTCCTTGAGAACCCCTGTGGAACATAATTAATGTAATAGTATCTTGTGGAATATTCTGTTAATTTAGTGATTTTATTTCATAAATATATTTAAATATTTCAACCGCAAAGCCCCATGCTCAAGGCATTAGTTTTTACATTTGAACAGTATCATTTGTGGTGATGTATGATGAGGGTGTCTAATTTTCTTTTTTCTTTGATGATTTGCGTCAAGGGGGTGGAGGGGTATAAACAAATTTTCCAAAATAATGTGACATTCAAAGTTAGTATGTTCTATATTATGCATATGGAAATAAATTCGCTATTTAGATTTCAACATTATAAAAATAATTAAATTATCTAAAAATGATATTTTACCCCGTATTGTATCCCTCAGATATCATAACTTATGCTTTATTTTGGTCTCACAGTAAAAGTTGAAATTTGTTGTTTGCATAGTTTTTTTTTTTTAACATTTATCTTCTATGATTATTTAAATGCCATTTGTCTTAATGTCCAGGACAATCCACACTTGTTCAATGCGTTGGTAGATTTAATATGTGTCCATAGAGGAAGAAACAGTATGTTTATAATTTCTCTATATATGAAAAGATTAGCAGGTTTGGTTTAGGGCAGGGGTCTCAAACTCACGGCCCGCAAGATGATATTCTGCGACATGACAACAAATTTAGTTCCCCATTCTCATATCTATAATGTGGCCCTTTGCGACTGTTTCAGTCGAATCTCACCGACTAGTCTAATTCTGATTTTTATTATGTTTGTATAGAAATGGACTTTGATTATAATGATAAAAACTGTTTTAAAATCGGACTTAAAGTTTTTAATTTTTAGCATTTTCTCGCTACAAATTTTAAAAAGTCAGTTAGTGGGTAATGCACAACCATAAATATGTAAATCATAGCAATCTGACCCAGATTCAAAGAATCCCTATTACAATTGCCGCTAATGTTTACGAGTGAGGGAGATTCTGAACATGTCAGTGTGTGGAACACTTGATGCTGCATTGTCCCACTCAGGCTCTGCCTCCTGCGGCCCAGTCTCACTCAGGCCCTGCCTCCTGTGGCCCAGTCCCAATTAGACTCTGCCTCATGCTGTCCAGTCTCACTCAGGCTCTGCCTCCTGCGGCCCAGTCTCACTCAGGCTCTGCCTCCTGTGGCCCAGTCCCAATTAGACTCTGCCTCATGCTGTCCAGTCTCACTCAGGCTCTGCCTCCTGCGGCCCAGTCTCACTCAGGCTCTGCCTCCTGCGGCCCCCGGATGATTTGAGTTTGAGACCCCTGGTTTAGGGCCTAGAGAAAATTTTCACCTTTTTGGCATGTAATCATGAAATGCTTTCAATACAATTGCATGATGTGTAACAAATAAAATTAGGTATGTGTACCAAATTATGGTTTACAGAACCATGGAAGTATTTTATTTAGTCAAGTATCAAATTAAAAATCAGTAGGAATATACATGATTCAGTCATGTTCATTTATATACTGCATTCTCAAGGTGTGGATTAAAGAACTGTTAAAAATTTGAAAGCTCTTACTTTAAGTATTATAAATGTTCAGAAAGAGGAAGGATAAATAGTTATTTTTTCCAAAATTGTTAAGTTAACATGCTTTCTTTTTTCCAAATAATGTTGAAAGTGACGCCACAATTGCAGGGAGTTGAAGCTGTATACTGCAGTGTCTTTTGCTATGTATTTTGAAAGTACATAATAATAATGAGAATAAAATTTTTGAGTAAAATTTTATTATTAATCAAATTAAACCCTTAGATCAGTGGGTCCTCAAGCTATGGCATGGGGGCCAGATCCGGTCCACCAGGGGTCCTTTACCTGGCTTCCTTAAAGGAAGCAGCGAAAAATTAGGAACCATACATTGACCATCTGATTTTAGCCAAAAGCAGACTCATATATTTCTCTGAAATACTAATAAGTTATGTTGATTAAACTATTATCCATTTTTAAATATTGTATTGTATTGTTTTATCATTTTTGTATACATTCCTAAAAACTAGAAACCTTTATATATCCATTAATAGTATTTCAACTACACATTATATTTTGACATTATTGTTTAACTTGCATACTGTATATACTGGCGTATAAGTCACACCAGTGGATAGGTAACATTTCTAATATTAAGACATTATTACAAAAGTGAATAATAACTGTAAGTGAAATTGGTTGTAATGGAGTGGGATTTTATTGAGTGCTGGCTGCTCTGTTTCGACGAAAACTGATTTACTGATCTAATCTAATAATATGCAGCCATCTTCTTCAAATCCCTGTGATGTCAAGTAGATAGATGACACCCTTGATTTTTATTATCAAACGTTTTTTTGTAAAATAAAGTGCAACCTATATGCGATTATATACGGTAATAACAGTTAGTTATTCATTTTAGTGAGTATTGTTAATTAGGAAATTTTTGTTTTTAATTAAATAGCTTAAAATTCTATTTTCAGACCTATTAAATACCAAATAATGCACAACAAAAGATGGAGAAAAGGAGACAGTTTCTAGTCATTATACTTTCGTGGCATATCTTGTCTATCATGGTACTCTTGATTGCCATCCCATTTTTGGGTGTAACTTCTTCTGATTCAGTTAATGGTATGATTCAATCAATTTTAACCTTATAACATTATCATAGAAATTTAAGTAAGCATATATTATTTTTGTTTCAAGTTCAGTAATTTTTCTTGAGCTGTACAACAATTAAACTATTAAAATGAGATGTTTTTATTTTAAAACATATATATATTTATATATTTACAGATACAATGGAAGCCCGCTATAACATAGCTCACCATAATGTGAATTCTGATATAGCACGGCCATCTCATGGCTCCCAATATTTCGTATATTCTTTTGCTTATGAATTTTATTTTGTTGCAGTACATGAAAAATATAAAAATATTTAACTTCATTTTTGGGATGAAATCGCATATAAATAAAATATTATCGTGGCATGGTTCCTGAGATTTGAAATTAATTAATATCAAAGAATGAAAGACACCAACATCTTATGTGGGCTTAGCAATGTTATTAGACACAATTAGGAGAGAGTAAAGAATGACAGTAATTGCAACACTTTTCTCATGGAATCAAGGTTTCTGGGAAACCTTGAGGTATGAATACATTGGTAGGCATCTTGGGAACATTGGGATTAGATCTCATAAAAATATTGTAGAACCCAGAATAAATTTTGATCTTGTTAACACCATCCAATCTTATGGATCCCAATTATTGCATCAGAAATTATATCGGGCTTCCACTTTATTTAGAAGATGAAACTTGTTCATATCTCCACTTTCTTCTTTTCAAATAATGTTGGTAAAATGCTATATAATATAAGAACATTTAACTTAAGACTGTCTAAAAATATGTAATGTACTTTTGGATGAGTTCTAAATTACTAAAGTTTATTACAGATTTCACCCACACTGGAAGTGACCAAGCAACCTCCAGCCTGCTTCCTACCACAGCACCAGTCAACTCATCTAGCAATGACAGCGAAGAAGCTAATGGACCTCAAGCTCCGAATTGCACTATTAATGCTGAGGAGTGGTGTCCAGAAAATGAAAACTGTAGTTCTTTAGGAGGGGAGTGCCTTGACTGTATATTTAATACCTCTTGTATTTATGGGACTTTACAAACTGTAAATTGTACCCCAAAGCCCAGTGTAAATTGCACTGTAAGTCTGTTTAATGCAAAAAAATATTATTTTTTTTAATAGTAATATCATAAATTTGTTTAAAAGAGCATTTTTGGTTAGTTAAAGGAATACTCCGTGCAGACAAAAGGGTGACTATAAGAAACACATAATTTGAAAACATAAAATATTGCATATATTTGCATAACTAGGAAAATTGACCCCTTGGCTAGAACTGAAATTGTTCTCCAGTCCAAACATGAGTTTCGGATACTTTGACAAGATGGGGTAAATACATATTTCCTAGCTTATTGTGCGTCCTTTTAGTGGCATCCAGGGCACTTGTGATGTCTTGCTCCACCCTAGATCGGATTCTTTATGCATTTCATCTCCATTAAAACAAAAAAAAGAAGGTAGATAATAATAATAATAATATAAAATGAAAATTACACAATATCACAATATTTGTTTACCCAATCCCTTAACTAAATGACACCATATTATTTCAATGACAATAAATAGACCCTGGCTTCATGAAATGAAATGTACTCAATAACAAAATGGCTAATTTCCATGAAATCTAGTAGATGACTTATCACTTTTACGGCTCAGGTAAAATAATTATTAATTGTTTGCACTCAAAATGGTTAAAAGAAATGACTTAGTGTGACAAAAAATGTGACACAATATTCACACTTTAAGTTCTCAAAGGCAGCAGGGCATTGATTTTCTAAATGCCCATCACTCAAAGTTATCCATTATCTTGCCACTGTCTTTTTATTATTATTATTATCATAATTTTATGCAATGCTCATTGGCCTATAACAAATACAGTAACGATTTCAACCCCTGTTGCACAATCAGGTATAATCTATTTACGTACTTTACATGTAGAGGCCAGACCAGACTGGGATAATTTTATCTGCAGACCTGTAGTGTTAGTATATATCACATAATACACACCTGTCAAGACAAAAGCAAAAAGTGACCTTGGATTTTGTTCTATTCTATTTTTGGAGAAAAAAATCCAATGCTCATCAGTTTTTGACATTTTCCCAGCTGACACCTATACTTATATATTATACAGTGTGGTAATGTTTTTAAACTGTACAATAAAGCACAATATTTTTATAACAATAAAGTAAGAATATTACATTTTAACTCTTTAACAAAAACCCTTTCCATGGGAGTGTACAGTTATCTGAAAAATAGTTATTATCAGTACCAGGCCCAGTTAGTTCTGAAAATTGATGCTCTACTTAAAATAACCAGAACTTGAGTTAAATGAATAGTTAGTATTTGCAACACTAAGTGGCGAGATGCCTTTCAGGCAGGATTTTACAATTTATCTTTTATTCTTGTTTTTCACCTGTAACTATTCTTTTCATCTATTTTGTTTCAAAACCGCACAAAAAATATTAAAAAACTGCCAATCAAAAACTAACTTTCATAGCTAGACAAATAAAGACATATTGTTACCCTTTTTATATTTACTAATATTAAATTGTAACTATGGAAATGCATCTTATTTGTTATTCTTTTAAAAGTTAACTGTAAAGAGAAAATAAAATAATGTGTTAGAATAAAATTTATTTTTAATAAATTCATTTATAAGGTTTTAGAGGAACAAATTTCATTTCAATGTCTATAATTATTTTTAAAGTGATTTTCTTATACGGGTAGTTATAGTTTCTAAATAATTTCATTGCCTATTTGTTTATTAATTTAGGGGGAAAGAAATTTTAAAAGATCATATCATTGCCGCTATTGCTATCAGCTTCCATCTTGGTTAACATGGTGTAATAAGTCGATGGAATGTGCACTGAACCAGCCTCGTAGTTACTATCCTGCCAGACCTTTCTATGTAAGCACATGCTGGGCCCATTCAAAGGAATTGTGCATCGGTAAGTTTAAGTAAAGATCTTAATTTTAAAATTATTTAATATTAATTAACACCAAATAGATGTTGATGGCATATACAGTTTCATTATATTAAATTTTATTAACTCATTTTTAAATTAATTTCAAACAGGACGCAGATGCTTTAGTAAACAGCTTCCTTGTAACTGGTCTCAGGGATACAAGTGGTCCACAGCCATGCTACTTAGGTAATAGTCCTGTCTATTTTATTAATGTTCACATACTCCTTACAATAAGAAGTAACTTCTCAAATTCATAAAATAAGTACTTGGTGTTTCAATTTTATTTTCATATAGAAAAAACTCCGTCCTTAAACTAAAAATTACAATTTCTTCAGCAGAGGATATACAATACTAAAATTCGTAGAAATCCTTGTAAACTTCAATTAACTTTCGCATTAAGTAAATATGTCCTCAAACATCTATCTTCTAATGTTTACTCTTCTATTTATCTCTTTTTGTTGTTTTATGTCTGCATTACTTTTTAATGTTGTTTAATGGCTTATAAATAATGCCATAATAAAATGTTCACAATTTCAGTATCTTTCTTGGTGGTTTTGGAGTTGATCGGTTTTATCTTGGTTTATGGAGAGAAGGTATCGGAAAGCTGCTAAGTTTTGGTGGTCTTGGAGTGTGGACTTTGGTAGATGTGATTCTTATAGCTGTTGGATATATTGGCCCATGGGATGGATCACTCTATATTTAAAGCAAACTAGTTTTGGAATGGGTAACATAGGACTTTGAAAATAAAAGATCCGCCATTTGAAAGTTGCTGTTCATTTAATTATAAATTTACTTATACTTATATTGAATAATATAAATATTAATGTAGTGATTTACATAATAAAATATCATGTTTGATTTTTAACTATGTATTTTTAAATTAACAATATATGTATCTTATAATTCAATGTATTCCATGTGTTCACTGTATGTTAAGTCATTAACATAAGTATTTGAATGAAGCCTAATAAAGAGTAAATGAATTTTGAAAATTGTGATGATGTTCAAAATAAAGCTCCTTTATAAAAGATTATTCAAAACAATTTCATTATCTACAGTATTTAGAATACATTAGATGAATAATAAAACTAAAATATTTTACTATCTTCTATTATTCAATTAAAATAACATTCTCATTTTATTTATGCCCCATGGATAAAAAAATTAAATTAAAAATAATAATCATGACATTTGTGGCAAAGAAGATAAATTTCAAAGTATGTTATAAAACTATAATGCAGTTCTTTCTTTCTTTTTTTTTCAATGTATGGTATTGTGCTTTAGCAATTTTAAGTATAAACTAGTTAATCCTTACTACTAATTATTACTGTGCCCATACCACACTTCAGATTACTTGTTTTAGTACTTTTAGCCTGCCCTTTGTTTCTTGTTGGATTTAACTATGTTCAGCACTACATTAGGCATTTTTTAGGTTTTGTTGTAGGGTGGATCAGTAGATTTTGCTTATGGGAAGGATTTTCCTCAAATGCATCTGCATGCAGGCATTAAATCTATGGCATAATTTTAAAATATTGCGATCATAACTGGACACATAAAAAAAAAGCACTTGCGGTGATAAATTTTTCTGTGTTCTGGTAGTAAAAGGAGAAGGAAGACCAGTGCATATAAAAATGCCATAATTAAGATATTTATAAAGATCACTTGTTTGTTATATAATCAACAAAAAATGTTTTAAAAATCCACTTTTAGTATAGCATAAGTTTAATGATAAAGCAATCTGGAAACATTACATAAATAAGGTGGATATTTTCAACTTTCATGGCAATAAATTAGTGATTACAAACTAACAATCCATAATTATATCTATAAACTGGTTTTAAAGGTTATTTTCCATAAAGAAAAATAATTCTCTTGAGTTAAGAATTTTATAAAATATCAAATAAGGTAATCAAGTACAAGCAAGCATTTAGAACAATAAATACAAGTGTCAGTCAACATGTAGAATTGTACCTGTAAATTATCCTAAATAAAATATCTAAGTAAAAAAATTATGGTTACAAATCACAATTTATATTAATTTTTTAAACTTCATTTATCTTTGCAATTGCTTAAACAGCAGAATGAATTAATTTTTTTGAACTACCTTAACATGAGACAAAATGAAACTCTTTGCTTCTAATTCTTAAAATACACAAATATTTTATTGAGACATGTTTAAAACACTACTTCAAATTGATGAATTGTACAGTATTATAGTATTTTTCTTTGTTATTTAAAGAATCTTTCTCACCAGTCTAATATAAAAAAGAAATAAAGTAGATGTTTGGACTTGAGGCTGTATGCAGAACTAAATGTACTTCGTACAATATGAATTATCCATGGGGACAAAAATGATAGATAAATAATTTGTAATGAACATAACATTAAAAAATATTTATATGATTGCTTTGAGAAGCTGAAATGCTTGAAATTAAATTTGAAGTTATGAAAATAGCATTAAATGTTAAATATTGTTTATTTTTAAAGGATTAAAGTTTATATTATATATTTTTACATCTATGGCCAATTGTTCTCATTTCAAATAGATTTTATAAAATGTTAAAGAAATGAAGTCACTGAAGTTCTCTATTACCCGCATAACAAAAAAGGAATGGGTACCACTACTACACCAAAGAAAAATGTCTATACCAAAGTGTTATACATTTAAAAAAAAAAAAAGCATAGTACTTCTAAACACACACAACAAAGATGTGATCCACAAATAGACACAAAAAACAGTGCAATAGCTTTAAAATATCTCCTCTGCATCGATGGCCTTGGAGTCATTAAAGTATTGGAAACGAGAGACGATGTGATCAATACTATGCTCTCCATGGATCTTGTTATCACGTGTACGGACATTAGCAGTTTTGTTGGCAACTTCTTTTTCTCCCACAACTAAAATGTAATAAAATGTGTATTTCAATTTCATTAGTAAACATATTTTTTAAAACACTTTACATATTTTATATTAGATTAATAATTCACTAACACACACACCCCCCCCCCCCGACTATTCTCGATAAGATTATTGAGTAAATTTCCATATGAAAAATATTACTAATAATGTTTGCGCTCCTGTAAATAGGAAAATTAGAAACCGAGCATAATATCTATAAATAAATATATATAATTATATTATTTTTAACAACTGACCAAAAATGAAATTATACTGGCTTAGCTGAGCATTACGAATCTTTTTATTCATAGTAGTGCCCTGATCTAGGTCATGTTCACAAAGGAAGCCAGCATCATGAATTTTCTTCATCACCTAGAATATAGAGAGAGAAATTTTTTTTTGTTTATTGAATAGCCTTGATATAAACTTTTATCACACTCTAGAATTCTAAATATGGTACTTTAAAGTTTAAACAGATTTTAAACCTCAAACTGTAAAGTAATGTCACATCAGGTGTACTACTGTCAGAAGTGCATTTCTTCAAATAGATCTGATACCTTGCCTTTTATTGATTATTTTACCAGCCTACCTCTTGAGCATATTCATCAAATGCAGGTGCAACAGTGATCACAATTGACTGTCTTGGAGACAACCAGAAAGGCCTGCAAAATTTTAATCCAAAATTAATATTCATAAAAAATCAAGACGTTAATTAAAATTAATTTGCCTGTAACTTAACTCTTTCCCTCCGGAATTATTTTCCACGTTCTGACGGAATTATCTATTTCTGGTTTTTGTTACGCACTACTATGTTTTCTCTAAACCTTCATAACTTTTTTGTTTTTAATCAGAAAATGTTAATATTGGTATGGAATTAAAGGGAAATGCATGCTCTTTGCAAGCAAACAAGATTTGGGTTTAAATTTAATAAATAAATGTGATTGTGATTTAAGGAAAATACAAATTTATTTAAAGAAACTCACCAAATGTTCACACAACGCTCCTTCGAAGTCACGCGAAGAGAAATATATAATCCAAAGTGTAACAAAAATGTTTTTTTTCTGATCTATATCCATATGTGCATCACAAATAATAAAGATCAACTTTCAAAAAAGAAAAAATTAAACCTCAGAGCACATTATCCATTGTCACCACCACACAAAAAAATTAGGAAAAAAATTTAACTAATTCCACTGGAAACAATCTGTTGCTATTTAAAAAATAATTGCACTGTATCCTTGTATGTACTAAAATTTATAATAGTAAATGGAGAATTTACCATACATTAGTCACATATTTCCATCTGGGTTTAGCAATAGTAAGCCTAAAAAACAATCCATATGGATGTGCCCTTTAGCTGGGGGGCGGGGCTGGTTGTTCATCAGCTGATGAATTACCAATTTCATTATTTTGTCACTAGTACTACTAATACTAGTACTAGGATTATAATCATACGATTCAACAGAATCAGCCTCTGCATTTGAAAGCATAAAATCACTGTCTGAATCATCATAAGAGTAATATTTTCCACCTTTATTACATTGATCACCAGATGGGTCAGGTCAAGATTTCATGTTTGTAAACAAAAATAAAATGGACAATCAAAACAACTGCTTCAAACAATTCGTTCTTCGCTCAATCACAGTAAAACCGGATGTTTATGAAAGGGAAATCATTCTAGAATTGATTTAAAATAACTAAATACCAATAGCTAAGAAAAGAACCGAAATAAACAGGTTTTTATACATCGACGATCCCAGATCCCATCGCCGATACGCCGAACTCTTCATTTCAAATCGACGATGGGAGCGTTGATCCGGAGGGAAAGAGTTAAACCAACCCCCCTGGGGGCAGCAGCCCCACTCCCCACCTGCGTGCACCCCCCTGCAGATTTTTTTTCTTGGAACTTTGGCAGGTCTGAATACCAGTATACTAAGAAAATAATCCTAAAGCTAGTTATATTAACAATATTCAATTTAACTATACTATTAACCCTTATAGTACCTGGCGTGTCTTTTTGCAGTGACCTACTTTTTCCCTGTGACCCAAGCGCATTGCCATATAGAGTGGTATCTAATCTAAACACAGAAAGGAAGATATAACCTTTCATTTGCCTTTTAAATTATGAAAATCTGCCAATTACTGATTTTTGTGTGCTGATCTGTATTTGTTGTTTCCATGACGCTACCTATCTTTAGTGTTGATTATATATTCTTTATTGTTGACAATTTTCGCCCACTTGAAACCTTTTGTTCTGAAACTATTATTGAGCTTTAATTTGGATTAGGTGATTCTGATGCTGATAAGAAAGAGGGGGATGAAATTGCTGAAGGAAACAGGCTTAATATAGCTCAAAATTTACGCCTACAGGAGCCTGTAGGTTGACAGGTTTTAGACTAGTGTCAACGTAGATATTGATTTAGTAAGATCGACTGGACACTGTGCTAGCCGCACAATCCCCTACTGTGCCATTGCCAATGAAAAGTTTAAAAAAAAGAACACATTGGTATTTTTAACACCCTTATCCATCAATTGTTTAAAACAAACAAGTTTTAAAAAATTTGCAGAACTATCAAATTTTGGCCACAGACTATAATTATATAATATATATAGCAAAAATTAGGTCGGTACTTTTAGGCAGGGGTTCCCAAACTTTTAAGTTTCACGGACCGGTGGACAAGTTTCGAAACTGCACCAGGGACTGGTGCCAGATTTATTAATTACATATTCTTTCTATTTAAACATAATATTCATGCTCTCTGGACCGGTAACGTAAGGCTTGCGGACCAGTGCCGGTCCACGGACCACCGTTTGGGGACGCTGCTGTAAGGGTTAAAGTTATATATAAAAGTACAAAATACAGAAATAAAACGTTTACATCACAGCAAGTGAAAATGTATAATCCTCAAGTTACATATAAATCTACATACACACAAAGGATTGAGATCTTGTAAGGCTCCTATACTATTTGCCCACATCCTTCCTAGGCGTTGCACATCACACTGATGGCCTACAATTTTCCTTTGCAACAAAAAGCAACTTGTCCTAAATGACAAATACAAAACAATACATGTACAATCCCTGTGGTTCTACAGCCCATGTAGGCCAAACTACATCACCGCATCCTTCAGCTCAGAGCTAACTGATGCTTTTCTTTTCCATGCTTGGATTCCCAGCTGCTTTTTATATTTTTTCCACATCCATCCATGAGTTTGAGCTGTTTTCCTCTGGGGTTTTGGAGGTGTACCATCTGTCATTTGACATTCTTTCTAAGTGTCTAGCGCAGCCTGCCCTTTATTTCTTCTACTAGCTTGGTGTCAAGGGTATGAGAACCACTGTTGTGATGTGTGGAATAACAGTAAATGATGTTCATCAAAATGAGTGCAAGTTTGAGATTGTCGATGTCGATGAGGGTTTAGAGAGGGATTATTTTGACACTTGGGATCCTGAAATAGACAGTACAATTTCTGTACAATTTCTGATTGGTTCGTATTCTCCTTCCATATTTGTTGGTCCATATATTTTCCTTAGACATTTTCTTTCCCATGAGTTTAATAGGTTTTCTGCCATTTTTGTTAGGGTCTAAGTTTTACTTGCGTAAGTTACAACTGGTCTGGTTACAGTTTTATGTGTAGTTTTTCTTGTAATTAGTGACTACTGAAGTATGCCCTGTTTCCTGACGAAATTTCTTTGTTTTATTTCTGTTAGTATTTCATTTCTTTCATTTACTAAAGATCCTAGGTATTTGAATTGATTTACTTTTTAGAAAGGTTTCTAATTTTAATAGTTTCATGTTTGTTCGTCTCTTATCAAAGTCATGTATTTTGTTTAACTTCCAGCCCTGCTTGTAGAGATGCGTCTTCTATTTCAATAAAGGATTTTGATATGTCTTTACTACTTTTCCCTAACAATGGGGACTTTATAATTCTCAAGCACACATGGTCTACACATCCCGAAAAATGGCGCAAAAACTGTTGTGGCCATTTTACATTCAGCTCGAGGAGGACTTCGTTGTTTGCGTTGTACATTACAGTTTTCTAATAATAAATTATTTTGTCATCAGTGACGTAGAGTGCATATTTTTCAAAACACTGCGATATCATATTTGCATCATGGTGTATCTTGAGACTGTCAAGGAATTTATTCTTTTGTATCTGTATGCACTTTAAAAGCTTATTACTTTTTAATGTAAAGTCGTTAGACATAGTGTTTCACTGTAGCACTGCTTGATAAATGCACAAAGAGGAATAACTTTGCTTCATTAATAATAGCAATCTCAAAATAAAGTTGTGCATTTGGAAATTTCGATGAAATTGTCGGTTGTTACCACTTATCCCCCTTCACAAACAAAACTTTGGTTGTCGGAAACGGCCCTCCTTATCAATTTAATATAAAAATATTTTTATTGTTTTTATCTTTAAAAATCTGTGGGACACTAATCGGTTAATGAATGAGAAAAAGTTTTATATCAGAAATTAATACAACCCAAAGAGTTTTTATTAATTTTAATTTGTGTGGTTGGGTGAATTTTTGGACCAGTTTTGTCCCTTGATTTTCATAAATATTATACAATAATAATATGTATATCAATTTGAGTTTAGAAATTTTATGAGAGAATACCTAAACATTTTATCTGATCTTCTTTATTAAATTAATAATAGTTGTAATAATAAATGTTATTCTCATATTAGTGACATTACATTTATAAGAGAATATTACTACTACTACTATATTATGGTGTATATTTTAACTTTTATTTTAGGCCCTAAGCCTAATAACTGATACTAATATTACTAATAATACTATTCCATTACTACAACTGCATTTACTCTTAACTCTTACAGGCCTAGTTTAAGTTAGTATTTGAAAAACATTAATAAGGCATTTAATTAAATTATTTAATTATAAATTAATAATTAATTAATTAAATAAAGACATCAAATAAACAAACAAGGCATACAAAAAACAGTTTACATATGCAAATATTTAATATTTCTAATAAAATAAAAGTAAAACAAATAAGTTTTACTAAACAAAAAAGATTAATATTATAAAGCAATAAGAATAAAGCAGTGTAGATTCAGGATATGATTAGATGTTATTTTTAAGTTTCATTCAGACACAAGAGAAAATTTTAATTTTCTATGAAAGAAGTCCTTCCATCGACAAGTAGGCACATTTGGACAAAGACAAAGTATATGAAAGAGAGATTATGGATTTATCAAGACCAAGCAGTTTAGAGAGCAGTCTAAATAGAAAATGATAGGCAGAACATCCCCATTACTGCCATTCTTTTTAAAATTTAATCACATGCCCCATTGCTGGTATGCTCTTATTAGTCTTATTGGTTATATACGTAGTTTTTATTTATAATCTTGTGCCTTAACTTTATTGTAACTTTTACTTACCTTTCATAAATATAAGAATTGATTTAAAATTTAACTGAAGCACATAATTCATAATTTTGTTTTGTTTTTTCCTTTACAGATATTAATTTTTTGTACTTTTCTGTTCATACCCTGAAATATATATAAAAAAATAAGTCTTGATGTTATATAAAAGTTTTCTTGTTTATTGTGTTGTATATTGCATTTAGAATGTCTCTTGAACACTTGAAAGCATTATCTTTTAAAATAAAAAAGTTTAGGGGAAAATAAGTCAGA